CATGAATAAATAAATATTTAAAAAAAAAAAAGAAAAAAGAAATACTAGGGGAGGGGGCGCCTGGGTGGCTCAGTCAGATAAGAGTCTGACTCTTGATCTTAGCTCAGGTCCTGATCTCAGGGTCATGGGTTCAAGCCCAGCACGGAGCCTACTTAAAAAATTAAAAAAAAAAAAAAGTACTGGAAGAAAGAGAGGAAATGATACCATGAATGTCTGACCCATGAGCTACTGTGTCATTAAGTAGATGTGGCAGAAGGGACCTTGTTCCTTTTTACCCAAGAACCGTCAGCTGAGAGAGGATCCTCCCCCAGGAGGGTGTGGGGCAGAGCCCTGGGCCCCATCCCTGGGCCCCATCCCAGAACTGCAAGTTCAGTATTTTAGAATCAATCTGGGACTTTGCATTTTAAAGATTGAAGATTGATTGATTGATTGATTGATTGATTTGAGAGAGAGAGATAAACCCTAGTGGGGTGAGGGACAGGGGGAGAGAGAATCTAGAGCAGACTCCCCTCTAAGTGAGGAGCCCATTTAGCCTAGACTTAGAAAGAATAGACTTCAAAACACTGTAGAAAAGATTTCAAGGGGAGCCTGGGTGGCATCTGCCTTCCGCTCAGGTCATGATCTCAGGGACCTGGGATCAAACCCCACATGGAGCTCCCTGCTCAGCGGGAAGCCTGCTTCTCCCTCTCCCTCTGCCCCTCCACCCCTGCTCATTTTCTCTCTCTCAAATAAACAAATAAAATCTTAAAAAAAAAAAAAAATCTCAAAAGAGAAACTGTTTCAGTAGGAAGAATTTATGTCCAAAAAACAAGTAACCCTAATAGCCGGCTGGGACCAAATCTGCTTATTTATCCCAGCACCTTGAATGCCCCCACAACAGCTGCCATATGGTGGTGCCTCATACTGGAGGCAAGACAGATCCAGGGTGGGTAAGGAGCTAGGCCAGTGGTTCTCAAAGTATGGTCCCAGATGGGCACAGGCGATCTCTTTTAATGTAAAGGGGGGATTGGGAGGAATGTCTGGAGGCTGTAAGAGGAAGGTAGAGTGCTTATCTGTACAAATGGGGCAGAGCAGACAGAACCTGCAGCCTGGCCAGTGCTTCCTAGGCGAGCAGCCACATTCTAGCCTGGAGCTGGGCCCCTAGCACAGGCCCCTCCCCTTCACCCACCCCAATCCCCCTCCCTGCCCCTCGGCTCAGGACTGAACTCTGGGCTCTCTCTCCCTGTCCTCAGGCTGCCCTTAAACAGTGGGAAAAGATCATTAACAACTTAGGTTGAGCAGCAAATACCTGGGACTAGGCACCAGGTACACCTTTTCACTAGTCAGTCCTCACAACCAGAAGTCCCTACCAGGAAGGAGCAGGAGGAAGTCAACCAATTTTGCCCAAAGAAAGATTAGGAGAGGGGTACCTGGGTGGCTCAGTCGGTTAAGCATTCACCTTCCGCTCAGGTCATGATCTTGGGGTCCTGGGATTGAGCCCCATGTTGGGTTCCCTGCTCAACCGAGGGCCTGCTTCTCTCTCTCTCTCCCTCTGCTGCTCCCCCTGCTTGTGCGGTCTCCCTGTCAAATAAATAAAATCTTTTAAAAAATTAAAAAAAGAAAGATTAGGAGAGAGGATCTAAGACAAAAGCCTGCACTTCTTTTTGACCAACAAAAAACCTGACTCAAATTACCACAATGAAAGAGTAGGTTTCCCTTTCCTAATATTCTGGATAGAATATTTTTAAGAACACATTTTTAGGGGCGCCCGGGTGGCTCAGTTGGTTAAGCGACTGCCTTCGGCTCAGGTCATGATCCTGGAGTCCCGAGATCGAGTCCTGCATCGGGTTCCCTGTTTGGCGGGGAGTCTTCTCCCTCTGACCCTCCCCTCGCTCATGTGCTCTCTCTCTCTCTCATTCTCTCCCTCAAATAAATAAATAAAATCTTTAAAAAAAAAAAAAGAACAAATTTTTAGTGTAAGGCTTAGCTGACAGATAAATAAGGGAAATCTTCAAAAACCGTAAATAATAGAAAGCAAGAATCCAGAAAATGAAGTGCGCCTGGAGGCTCTGTTTGCCCTGGGGACATCAGCCAATGCTCAGTGCTGACATCACTGTTTCAGTGGATCTCAGATTTGCAGTCAGGAGATAAAGCCAGGTGCCTGAGGACTGAAAATTAAACAAGAAAGTTCTTCCTGTCCCCCCAGCCCATCCCCAACAAAGCAGGACTGCACTTTGGGTACATAATTTTTAAAAAAATTTTTTAAATATTTTATTTATGGGCACCTGGGTGGCTTAGTTGGTTAAGCGACTGCCTTCGGCTCAGGTCATGATCCCGGAATCCT